CTCATCTCTACAATAAATAAAAAAAACTAGCTGGGCGTGGTAGCGCGTGCCTGTAGTTTCAGCTACTTGGAAGGCTGAGGTGGAAGGATCGCCGGAGCCCAGCAGGTCGAGGGGCTCCCGGACCCCACACTCCAGTCTGGGCGACTGAGTGAGACACCAACTCAAAAAAAAAAGAATAGAAAAGAAAAAAAAACAAATGGGAGAGTCCTACTGAATATGGACCTACTGCCCAGGCATCCCTGGGTGTGCCTATCAGGTTGAGACTGTCACAGAATGGAGCAACAGGTGTGACTGGCTACCAAGTTGTGGCTTTCAGATGGGATAACTTCCTCAGCTATGTCGCCTGTGTGCCTCTCCCCTCAGACTGCAGAGAACCCAGGGTTTGGCTTGCCAGGTCTCAGATGCGCTGGAGAATCCCAATGAAGATTCACCCATTAACTGGGTCACTTTGCTTCAGCTCAGGGTCGTCACATCAATATGCTAAGATTCACCTTGGGTGACCTCTCACAGTCCCTTTCCGGGGTCCCAGACCTCTCTTCTGTCCCCCGAATATTCTCCAGGATGGAGGTTGGGCCTTGGGGTGGACCATTAGACCCAGACGAAGGATCCCCTGGTCCAGGCCTCTTCCCCACCCCATCCCAGCCAACTGGGGGCCTTGGACTTGGACTCTGCTGGACAAGGGTTCCTCAGAGGCTTGGCCTAGCCACTCCCAATTTGGGGTGACTTTGCCCCCTGCAGGAATCTGCCAATGTGTGGAGATGTTTTTGGTTGTCATGACTGGTGGTGCTCCTGGCATCCAGTGGATAGAAGCCAGGGGTAGCGCTGGACCACCTACAGGGCCCAGGACGCCGGCAACAACAGAATTATCTAACCCAAAGTGTCAGCAGTGGTTAAGAAAGTCACTAACCACGCACAGCAGGGAGTTTGGGAGAAAGGAGGTGACAAGAACAGAGAGGAAGAGGGAGGAATTGTAGGTGTGGGAGGAGGGAACAGAGGAAAAAACCCTGAACCGGGAGCAGACAGAGGAGCCACCAACCAGCCGTGTGACCCGTGCAAGCCACTTTCCTCCCTCAGCCTGCTTCCTCGTTTATAAAAAAGACCACAAGGATTGGACCAGAAGATGAATATGGAAGAGACCGTGAGGCTCAGTGATCGAGGCTGGCGGTGGGGAATGTGGCAGTCCCCGCCCCCAGGCTACCCTGACCTGACTCTCCGATTCCAAAGAAGCCCTGGGAACCACAGTTTCTTTTCTTTTCTTTTTTTTTGAGTTGGAGTCTCACTTTGTCGCCCAGACTGGAGTGCAGTGGCCGCTCCCGGCCACCGCAGCCTCGACCTGCCGGGCTCCGGCGATGCTTCCGCCTCAGCCTTCCGAGGAGCCGGAATTACAGGCGCGCGCTCCCACGCCCGGCTGATTTTTTGATTTATTGTAGAGATGAGGTCTCGCTGCCCAGGCGGGTCTCGAACCCACGGGCTCAGGCAATCCACTCATCTCAGCTTCCCAAAGGCGCGGGATTATAGCTTCTTTTCTACCCAACCCCCAGAATACTCAGGAGCCCAGGTCGCGGGGTGAGGAGACCCCTACTCACCGCTGTGGCTTTCCCCATCGCTGCTGAGATAGGGGTAATACTCGTGTGTCTGGCGTTGGTACAGGTCGGTCTCGTAGGAAACCAGGTCTTCCGATGGCTGCTGAGAGAGGAGGGGTCAGGGCCAGGCCAGTGTGGAGGACCCCAGCCAGGTTTGTACCTCCCAGCATGTCAGGTCCACACCACCCTCCCTGGCTGAGTGGCGTGTCGGGCCTGCAGCCCTTTCTCCTTGGAATTGGGACGAAGAGTGGGGGCAGGGGACCCAGGAGAGCTGAAGGGGGTGGCGACAGGGACCTTGGGGGTCAGAGGTCAGAAAAGAAGCAGGACTCTCCCCCTTCACTGCCCTCACACTCACACTCACACTTGTGTGCCTGGGATCCCATCTCATGCTCTGCCTCCCTTGGTCACCCACATCCCTCACACGCCCACACACTCCTGTGACACACTTACACCCAGCCACCCCACCCTCCCTGCACACAGGCACACACTCACGCTCGCCCTCACACATGTCTTCACGCCCACTCTAAGGGCCACTTGGTCTCACACACACACACCACTGTATGCTCCCCCCATGGACACACACAGTCACACGATTGACACACGCACACACTACGTCCCAGCCAGCGATGTGCACACGTCCACCCACAGGCTTGCACAAAGCCACCCACACTCCACTTGCACGCTCACCCACACCGCACCCCGTCCTGCGCCCCACCGCCCAGCCCCCACTCTCTCGCAGCCTGGGCCCGGGCCTGGGTGGGGCCGCCACGATGATGTCCACACTGCTGGTCTGTGCAGAGGTTACCCGGGCAGGCGTGGGGGCCAGGGGACAGAGGCCCTCGATCCTCCCTCCTCCCTCCTCCCTCTCCTCCTTCCCTCCTCGCCCTCTCCCACTCCTCTGCCCCTCCCCTCCCCATCCTCCCCCTGCTGCTCCTCCCCTCCTCACTCCTCTCTGCCCTCCTCCTCCCTGTCCTTCTGTCCTCCTCTCCTTCCTCCCCATCCTCCTCCCCCTCTTCCCCAGCCCACGGCCCAAGCACAGGGACATGCACACCCAGACCTCCCCAACAGTCACCAGGCCTCTCCCCACCCCCACAGTGGTGCCCCAGGATTGCACAACCGCTACTCTAGCCCTCAGGGCTTGGCTGGGGGTCCCGGGCTGCCCTGGGAGCCCACCCTCCCAGGAGACGCTGAGCGGCCCCTGGGGCCGAGGAGAGGGGCCGAGGGGTCTAGGCTGGAACGCCCAGGTCCAGGGATTGAGGGGTCAAGGGCTGGAGACGGAGACGGTGTGGCCAAGCCTCTGGGCCTGTGGCTTTCTTGAGGCACAGCCGGCTCTTCCTGGGATAACCTCCATCACCCCTGCCTGGGCCACCCGGCTTCTTGGCCCCAGGTTGGGGAGGGGACTTAGGATGGGTACACCGCCATGGGACTGGCTGGTCTCGTTGCGGCTGTTGAGTGAGGCACCAGAGCCCGGCACGGAGCCTGCCTCTCTGGGTTTCCAGGCAGTGCAGTCCGGCCATGGGATGCCAGGCCCACTCCGGCGGGCGTGATGTCAGGCCTGGGGTGCCTCCCGGGCCCTGAGGCTGGCATAGGGCGGGGGCAGGAGGCTGCCTCTCAGCCGGGGAAATCTGAGTCAGGTCGGAGGCCCTTCCCGGCTCCCCTCGAGTCTCTCCACCTCTGAGAGGACATGGAGTGAAAAGGGAGAAGGTCCTCTCGGAGGGACCCTGGCCTGACACCTGCTGAAGGCTGCAACTGTCACTGAGAGCCAGGAGTTGTGGGATCTGCCCCAGCCTCTGCCCTCCCCTTCCCGGGGTCCCCCAGGCTCCCACTTCCCCGCCCTCCAGACTAGTCCCAGCCTCAGCCTGGCCTGCGCTCCACCCAGGTCCCACACCAGCTCCCGTCTCGGCCCCAGCCTTGGCCCGGCCCCTGCCCCAGTGCCCACCTTGGTGGCTCCGAACTCCAGCCCTGGTGCCGACCCTAACAGCAGTGCCTCAGCTCCACTCCCGGCCCCTGCCTCAGTTTCTGGAGACATGTGGGCCCACGGCCCAGACTCCAGTCAACAACCACGTCCTCCGTACCGGGCCCTCGACCGGGTATCAGGGACCCAGCGTCCCATCAGCCTCGGTCTCCAGGCATCCCCAGGCCATGGGCTGCGACGTTGCCTCCTGCCCTCATCTCCTCCCCGTCCCGGGGACCGGCCTCCCCCAAGCCGTCCCCACATCTCCCCTGCGCTGCTCCTGCTGCCGCCCTCACCATCCTCAGCCCAGCACCCTTGCCTGGGAGCACCCGCCTGCCACCCAGCCCCATCTATAAATAACTGTTCAGGCCCCACCGGTCACAGCCCCACCGCGGGCCGGGCCCTCAGCCCGCCAGGGCACGCTCCAGGGAAGCCAATGGCCCCCCGCCTGGGCTCAGGCGGGGAGCTTCAGAGGAAACACTGACTTCCCACTGATAGCAAGCCAGGAGGGCAGCGGGCAGGCAGGCGGGCGTCCCCACGGAGGAGTCCCAGTACTCACAGGGGGGACGAGGGGAAACCCTTCCATTTTGCACGCCTGTAACATCCAGCCAAGCTCCGAGCCGGTCAGATCCCCTGCCTCGGTGGGGGCCAGTGCGGTGCCCCTCAGGACGGGCGCCCCGTCGGGGGCTGGACGGTCTCGGGGCGGGCGCAGGGCTCAGGCCTGCCCCCTGAGCTACAGGAGCCCTGGGTGAGCCCCCTCCCTTGACATTGCAAGGCCAGCGCAAGTTCCTGATTTTATCGAAGGGCCTGCCGCTGGGAGATAGTCCCCTTGGGGTGACATCACCGCCCCAGCCCGTTTGCATAAATCTCTTGCGCTACAGGAAGTCTCTGGCCGGCTGGGGCAGGTGGTGCTCAAGGGGCTGGCCTGGGAGGCCGCGGGGTCCAGGCCCCCTGCCCAGGAAGCTGGGGCTGAGAGGGGTGGTTTGGGGGGCTGGGCTGGAGAGGGAGGATGGGAGCGGGAGAGGCTGGCTCCGCCACCGGAGGCCTTCTCTGCCTCCGCCGCCGGCCCTGCTGAGGCTCTCCAATCTCCAGCCCAACAAATGCCAACTTCTTTTGAGACTCCCATGTGGCCAACAGCCACCTCAATGGGGTCAGAGCTGCAAGCGCTGGTTTCTCGGGGCCTCTACTCTCTGGGGTCAGCCTTGCTGGCGGAGGGCTCTGAGTCTGAAGACTGTCAAGCCTGACTCTTCCTGTGGGCACTGTGCCCGCTGTTTGGGTTCTGCTTGGCTGGGACTGGGCTTAGGGGCAGGGTCTTCACAGTGCTGCCTTTCTCTGGCCCTCTGAGTCTCTTTATACGGGCTTTCTTCCCACCGCAGGAGTGTCCTGGGTCCTTCCACCCTCCCTTCCCAGCTTCCTGGGTACCATGACTGCTTCCAAATCCCTAGGGCTCTCTGTTTCTCAGTCTCCCCACTCCTTGCCAAACCCCGAATTTCAATCTAGTCTTCCTAGTTTACTAACCTTTCTTGACTGTCCATCCATTCATCTGTTTTTCCATCTATTTATCTATCTAGCTAATCTATCATTTATCTCTGTCTATTTGTCCATCCATCTATCCATCTCTCAAAACCGCCATGTATTTATTTGTCCATTTAGCCAACTGTCCATTTGTTTGTTTCTGTCAGTCAATTCATTCACTCACCCATCTGTTTACTTGTGCATCTATCTGTCCACAATCAGCCCATCCATCTGCTATCAGTCCATCAGTCCATATTTCCATGTGTTTATCCACTTTATATCCATCGATGAATCTAGTCATCCATTAGTCTGCCTACCCATCTACTCATCCATTCATTCATCCATCCATCTATCCACCCATCCACCATCTACCCAACCACCCATCTACCCAACCACTCATCTACCCAACCACTCATCTACCTATCCATCCGTCCATCCATCCATCCATCCATCCGTCCGTCCATCCATCCATCCATCCATCCATCCATCCACTCACACATCCACCCATCCACCCATCTACCCATCCACTCATCTACCCATCCATTCATCCATCCACCTACCCATCCATCCATGCATCTTTGCAACATTGAGTTCCAGGCTCTAAGCCAAATTCTGAGAAACAGAACAGTACTGTACAAGACTCCTGCCTTCAGAGAGCGCCTGATCTAGTCTGGAGGGTGCGGGACGAGTGCAGGCATTTGTTGTCCGGTTGATATCCGGCGAGTCCACTCTGCTGAGAAAGACCTTCTCGAGCATTCATTTCCTTCCCTTGTAATCGAATCCTGGCTTTATATTCCCTCCCCCTGAGGCAGGCCTGCCTCCTTCTTGCCAGTGGATCCCCAGGCCCTCAAGTGTTTCTTCACGGGCAGTAGAGACCAGGGTTTCCCAGCCCTGTGCTCAGCGTTACATCTTCACTGCCATCTACAGTGACTTTTTGCACCTGTACTGGGCACTCTCTGGGTCCAGACCACAAGAGGAGGGGAGAGACAGGGTGGCCTGGCATCTATCCTTGCCCCCCTTTCTCCATCAAGAAGGCCAAGTCCCAGGTGACTGGGTTGGTGGGCGGTGGGGGGGTATCTACTCCATCAGAACTAGGTCTTGCTTGATGAGTTCATTCATTTGTTCACGTGATCAATATTGTCTTGCTTTGGTTTGTTTATGTGCTTATGTATTCATTCATTGATTCATATAGCCACTGGCTTTTTTGTATACATGTAAGGGGTACAAATGCAGTTTTGTGACATGGCTGCATTGCACAGTGGTGAACTGTGGGCTGCTCACCACCACCCAAAGAGTGTCCATTGCACCCATTAAGTCACATCCCATCCCTCCCCCCCTGCTGCCCTCGCATCCTTCTGAATCTCCAATATCTGTTATTCCACACCCCATCTCCATGTATACACATGATTTAGCTCCCACTTATAAGTGAGAACATGTGGTCTTTGACTTTCTGTTTCTGAACTAGTTCACTTAAGATCATGACCTCCAGTTCCATCCATGTTACTGCAAAAGACATGATTTCATTCTTCTTTTATGACTGAGTAGTAGTCCACATTTTCTTTCTCTTTTTTTTTTTTAGTTGGAATCTCATTCCATCGCCCAGATGGGAGTGCAGTGGCATGCTCATGGCCACCCCAGCCTCAACCTGCTGGGCTCAGGGGATCCTTCCGCCTTAGCCTTCCAAGTAGCTGGAACTACAGACACGTGCCACCATACCTGGTTAATTTTTTTGAATTTATTGTAGAGATGAGGTCTCACCAAGTTGCCCAGGAGGTCTTGAGCCTGTGGACTCAGGTAATCCTCTCATCTCAATCTCCCAAAGTGCTGAGATTATAGGTATGAGCCACCGAGTCTGGCCCACATTTTCTTTATTGAGCTATCCATTGATGGGCACTTAGCTTAACTCCATGACTTTGCTACTGTGAATAGTGCTGCAATAAACATATAAGTGCAGGTGTCTTTTTGATGTATTGATTTTCTTTGTGTAGATACCCAGTAGTGGGATTGCTGGATTGAATGGCAGTTCTTTTTATAATTTTTTAAAAACAGAGACAAGGTCTCACTATATTGCCCAGGCTGGTCTCGAACTCCTGGACTCAAACAATCCTCACACCTTGACCTCCCAAAGTGCTAGGTTTACAGGTATGAGCTACCACCTGGTCCTGGTAATTCTATTTTTAGTTATTTGAGAAACCTCCATACTACTTTCCATAGAAGCTGTGGTTTAATCACTAACATTTTATTGAATGTCTTCCATGTGCTGAGTCCGGGAAGGGGAACAAGCATGAACGAGGCTATCCCGGAACTCACAGGCCTGGGATCGTGAAAGCAGATCATGGGCTTTTTGTGGGGAGAGGAAGTGCTAGGTGCATCTGGGCTGGAAGGTGCCTTGGGAAACAATTAACTTCTTGGTCAGTGTCCCAGGTGGGATAGCCTGGGGAAAGCATGCAGGGGAACGGCCTGTCTGGCTGAGGAATCAGTCTGAGCCAAGAAAAATAACAAGGTAATAGCGAGCCAGCATCCTTGCAGCTGGAAGCAAAGCAGGACGGGAAGAAAAAGAGCCTTGAGGACCAAGCCAAGGAGACTGGGTTGTTTGCAGGGGCGACTGTGGAATCTTTCCTGACTGTAAGTGGGGAGTGTGGGGCTGTCCTCCATGGGGGCAGCCAGGAGACCAGGTAGGCTATGTGCTCCTGAGGCCTAAGAGTCAAGGGGCCCCAGGAAAAGAAGGAGAGTCCATTACCCCAAGTATGGCCTAGCCTAAGGGCCCTGGGCAAGGAAGCCCATAAAAGAGACCCAGGACCAGTGATCTCTGGAAACGGACAGAATACCTCCCACCCTCTGGGCAGTGCCAGTGTCCTGTGTCTGTTCACATCAAAATGTCCTCCCCACTGTCTTCCCCTTCCCTCTCCTCCCAAAGTATACCAGAGGCCCCTCTCCGTCACATCCCCAGGGACCACTGTAACTCAAATTCTTGGGAATGGTAGAACCCAGATTCCAAAAACAGGAAGGATCTGGTCATTAACCTTCATGGTTAATAGCGCCTTGAAAAGGGAAAAGGCTCAGCCTGTAATCCCAGCACTCTGGGAGACCGAGGCAAGTGGATTGCCTGAGCCCACGGGTTCAAGACCCACCAGGGCAACTTGGCAAGACCCCGTCTCTACAATAAATGAAAAACTAGCTGGGCGTGGTAGTGCGTGCCTGTAGTTCCAGCTGCTTGGAAGGCTGAGGCGGAAGGATCGCCGGAGCCCAGCA